TGTTGAAGCTCATGCAGTTTGCACTGGCACATTTCTCAAGCCTATCAAGGTCCCTCTGGATGGCATCTCTTCCCTCAAATGAGTCCACAGCACCACACAGCTTGGTGTCATCAGCAAACTTACTGAGGGTGCACTCAATGCCGTCATCCACGTCGCTGACAAAGATGTTGAACAGCACTGGACCCAGAACAGACCCCTGAGGGACACCGCTTGACACTGGTCTCCATGTAGACATCGCACCATTGACCACAACTCTTTGAGTGCGACCATCCAGCCAGTTCTTTATCCACCAAGTGGTCCATCTGTCAAATCCATGTCTCTCCATTTTAGAGACAAGGATGTCATGTGCAAGGTGTTTGACTCTGTCCCACAAGTCCAGGAAAATGACATCCGTTACAATAAATTGTTTCGTTTTGGAAGTTCACACTATCAATCTGTACTCTACCATTACATTTAAAAAGCTGTGTTTAATTTCAGATACCTGTTTCCAAAAAGCACGAGGAGTAGTTCAGACTTAACTGTATCCCAAATCCATTACTTGGGAAAAAACATACCACAGAAATTTCTCCCTTCTGTCAAACGCTGTCCAGAATCAGTGAGAAGTTCACCAATTGCCTCTTCCTCTATTTCTATAGCTTTTACTTAACATTAATCTTCATGTTTGAGCAGCAAACACCAGTTCAGGAAGATTTCTAATGGTCTCGTCTACCTTAATTTTTTTGCTTCTATTGCACGAAGAACCAGACTCAATTCATTTTTTACTTTGAAACAGACATTGTAAGGGCAAGATTGACCCCATCTGCTTGAACAGTAAACAGAGCTCACCTTCAAGCTATTTCATGGACAGGACCAGGGATTGGTGCTGAAAGTCAACGATGAAATAAGACTCGCACAAATTTGAGGGTCAATGACTTCAATAGTTTCACCACCCTTCAAGTATTTACTCTGTCCACTGACAAAGATGATCAATCACTTAGCAATATATTCTTACCTGGAAGGCTTCCCTGAAACCAGACTGCGTGTGAGCGTGACACAGACATAGCAGTGCAAGCACAGAGAGAAAGAGAGAGGACAGAGACATGAGAAAACGTGACCGGAGAGCACATCGACTCGTATGGAATGGAGAGAACGGATGGAAACAACACACAAGTCCAGAGATGCCTCCTGGAGCCCAGCATTCAGAAGGTCTGCTCAGTGTTTTCCACGCTGTTGAGGCTTGTGATGCAAATTTGAGGTCTGCAGTCAGAAATTAATTTGCTTTTGTACATTTGCACCCTGCAGACTCAGAGGAATGTGACCAGTTCATGAAAAAAGGAAGTTTTTCAGAAACCGTTCTTTCACTTTTTAAAAATGCTACATCACTTTTTTGCAAGATACTGAGGGGACAAACCTCTGCAGATTTGAGAATTGCAGAGAACAGCAGACTTGAAAGTTAATTATCAGAGAGAGAGATATAGATACTACACATGCACTAAGTGCCTGCACGGTCTTCAAAACTTTACAGGAGGCATCCATGGACCATAAATCAGCAACTATTTTTAGCGTGGCGATTTTGTAAAACAGCAACTAAACCAAAAATTCTCTACGTGCAATACTTAACAGCCCACTGGTAATTATCACGTGGCATGCAGGGCTTCAGAGTCTGCTGCACCGCGGCCTGGGGTGGTGGCACTGTAAACAACCCCAGAGGTGACTGGGGACCACACTCCAGCCAACGTTATGATATGCAGTTCACTCAGTTGTATCAGAGCAACATTTTTCAACAGTGGAACCACACTGAATGTCCACAGGGCAACGAGGATGCTACGAACTGGCTGTTACTGGTCAAATTATCACAACACAGAACATACAGGCTTGCCATGCGTACAGGGGTTCTGAGATGAACGCAGGTCACACTCAGTGCCAACGCAGGTTAGATCAGAGACACGGGTACACCTGAGAGCTCAGACTCTCTCCCATCTGATCCCAGCTACACTGCCTGTGCTTTCAGACTCTCTCAGTCACATCAAACGATTCCCCCGCTCCTCCCAAAACCTCTGTTACTTCAGCAGCTCTGTCATCTATGCTGCAGTGGGAACCCCAGCCTGGGTGATCATCTAAGGTTACATCCAAGGCACGGTGAGAGACTTGGTCTTTCCATCTAGTGGCCTGTAGATGGTGCCTTTGTTAGCCCCAGCCTTGCCCTCGTGCATTCTGGTCAGCAATTAAGGAAATTCACGTACAGAACTGTCACTTACTTATCCAGATCTATATCAAGGGCCTTGTACGGATCGTTGGGATCTTTGTCATCTTCATCGCTGGGCAAAGCATTCTGCAGGAGAGATCAAGAGACTGTTCACTGAACAAGCAAACCACGGGCAGTTTTGAAACTAAAGCTACACCAGTTTTTCCAGATTGTTAACCCTGGGACAGGCCGGCTCGCAGTCAGGCACAGTAAGGCACAGGAACAATGCACTTCAGCGCAGCATCTGGTTACAAGATTAATTTAGAACAGAAAACCATTCTTCATAAACTGCAGGATTTGAATTGCTGCTGTTTGGTTTTGATTAAAGGAAATTTTAGGAACAAATACAGATTCCATCATTAGCATGCGCAATTAATTACAATCAGCTGCAAAGCTGCTGACTAGACAGCAAGTTAATGTCAAAGTGAAGCAGCAGAGCATAATAAATGACGTGACTATTTGGGCAGCGTTACTTTTATAGCAGAGATGCATATTGTTTATTTTGTTGGTTTTGTTTTTTTTTTTTTTTTTTAATAGCTTCAGTGGCAATTCTTTTTTTTTTTGTGCTCAAAAGGACAATAATTTCTCCCCCTGCAAAGAACAGCCTAGACCCATCTCAGTCAGCTTTGCAAGAAATCAGCACTGCAACAATACAGACTGGCTGGCAATTCTTGGGGAAAAAAAATCTCTGAAGAAGAGCGCACAGACAAACCCCACAACTCAGACCACCATCCAAAGCAACTGACCTCTGGCATCTCTTCTGTTATGATATCGACATGGTGAGCTGGAGCAATATCCTCCTCGCTCTCTGTGTGCAGGGAGTTATGGCGATGATGTTTACCTCTCTTCTCCTTTTTCTGTTTTTTCTTTTTCTTGTCTTTCTCCAGTTTCTGTTTATGTCTTCGCTCTTCTTCCAGTTTCACATACTGGTCAGTATTCCTGCGGAGGAAGCCAAACTGCTTTCAGGCTACAGACCACATGGACATTGATCACTGAAACAGTATGTTAGGAGCGAACCTTGCTTCCAGCTTCTCAGAATTAGAAGGATCGACACCTCTCTATGCTTCTACGTCACCTACCACTAGCTCCCTGATTCCTGTCCACATGAACTGGGCTACAAAGAACATCTAAACATTGATACTTTAAGTAGAATTGGTGCCATTGCTGTACTAACAACTTTCCACACTTTTGGAAAAAACTGCTACATAAGCCTTAAATATTTGCACCTAGAAGTCATGACTTGCAACGTCCTGTGCTTTGTCAACAGCTTTTCAGCCCACTAGATATACAACTACCTTTTGATACTTGCAACAAGATACTAAAATAGTATCTCTACTATCAGCCTCAATTTCTCCTGATGACCTTCATCAGCCCTTTGAGACACTCCACAGAACAGTGGTTAGTTCACATGTTACAGACTTGGCTGCACAATACCTTTAGTCACAGAATTACTTCTGATACTGTCTTGAGAGGAACTGCACTCGGACTGCAAAGTACTATTTTCAAACACACATAAGCCAAGGAGATATCTTTAAGAGTCTAATGAAAGTATGCTCCTTGCCCTTAAAAACCTACGTAGGAATTGTTAAGAAGGAATTATTACTTTTGCTTAACTGAATTTCTGTAATTAATTTTAAAGATTAGCTACAGTTACCTGGAACTTTTAAGGGGACAGAAAGGTCGATCTGGACCACAGGTATATGTTCCACACCTGGAGTGTCTTGGTATCGCTGGAAAAACGAAAATTTATTACATTTTGAGGACTGCCAGACACACATCTATATAAATAGACACATTTCAAAACATCAAGCAGTTTAATCCTTTAAGGGAACATTTTAAAGGACAGGTATGGAATAGCTCAGTACCAAATCCTGTGTGGTAGCAGAGTGTATTTTAAGACCAGCTGATAACCATTATAAAAGATCCTGCTTTTAGCTACAGTTTTGTAACCCAGCTACTGCCTTGAAGGTGGCTTGTTGCAACTCTCTGAAGAATTTTAGGTTTGTGTTTTATTGCTGATAACTTCCCACTTCAAAAGATAAATTTTGAGATTTGAATTGAAGAAAATGTAGTAGTCCATAGGATATACAGGGAACAAAGCAGGTTCTTTCCTCAAAAAGGTGTTAAGAAGAGACCACAACGATCTTTTGATCCATAAAACACACTGCATGTGCAAGAGGAGCATGTTGAAGGTTTATTTTCTCTTCATTGCTCTTAATGAAGCGTCTAGCAATCCGAACGCTTTCTTCACCCAGTGCTGGGACAAACTACCTGCACAGCAATTTGTGACACAAAGAGACAGAGAAGTGTTTCTCTACAGTTTTTAGAAAGTCCTTGCTGAAATGTAAACACTGCACTTTTTCCACGAGTTAATCCAGACTCTTCCAAACTGCTGCGTACAGGAGTTGTGACAACAACCACTTCCTTTTTTTCTAAACTGGAGGTCCACCAGAGATTCACCAGAAAGCTGGCTGCTCCTGTGGTATTAGGTCACTTGTGAGTTTCTCAACACAAACAAGACTCACAAAGACAGTTGTAGGCAGGCACTCCAGTCGGCACACTATGAAGTGATCAGAACTGCAGTGGGAATAACTGGGATGTCCCAGAGGGACGCTGCAGCGCTGACATTCAGTGAGCCTTCACGCAACGACACGAGAGGCCAGCAAGACGTTTTGATTCACTCACTCACCTTCTGTGGGGAAGGAGAGCTTTTAATATAAAATGGGTTGTTTGCCTGTTCTTGTTTCCGGGCTTCTCGACGCTAAAAGTGAAAGAGTTTTTGCAGTTAGAAGGTTTGTTTATAAGGAAACAGATAAAAGGCAACAAAGGGCAAAATGTAATCTCCCTGAATTTTTGGAACAATACATAACTGCTCACAAAAAGACTACAGCATAGTAGCCCCTGTATGACAAACCAGTTTTGAGTTACAAGACGTACTAGGATGTAACTACAAGTACTGTTACCACTATCACTAATATTTGCTACATCATCTTTTCTTTGCTTTTTAATTGTAGACTAGAGATAACAACTTCCCAAAGGCCAGATTTTGACGGCAATTCAAATGCTTTTTTTCATTTTTGCAAAAAGAGAAAGAAGTGAAGATTCTTATTAAAAAAAGTTTTCTCTCTGAAAACAAAAAGGTCAGAAGCAGGAAAGGTGGTATCACTACTGAGAACAGTGACGTTACAGTAATTCATAGCAGCTGCTGCTTCTTCTGCAGATACAGAGCACACAGAATAACACAAGTGCACCAATGGAGGAGGTGTGTAAAAAACCAAACAGCTGCAGAGCACAGCACAAGTGTCCACCCCCAACACCCTGTACTTTGATGTGAACTGCACTGGACACCACAGTTTACAGGTCAGATTTTTACAAGAGCTCAAAGCTCCTAACAAGGGCCAAGTTTTTACAAAATCTTGCTTCCATTTGGACAGGAGAGGCAAGCTAGACTTCCAAGAGAACTTTTTATCCAATATATTCCACAATACCTAAAAAAAAAATACCTATATTCAAATATACATATATATTTCGTTCACATCAAATCCCAGAATCCCAGGGACTGGAAGGGACCCCAAAGGATCATCTAGTCCAATCCCCCTGCTGGAGTAGGACCACCTAGATCAGATCACACAAGAACGTGTCCAGGTGGGTTTGGAACATCTCCAGAGGAGACTCCACAGCCTCTCTGGGCAGCCTGTTCCAGTGTTCTGTTCCCCTTACTGGGAAGAATTTCTTCCTCATGTTTAAGCGGGACCTCCTCTGTTCCAGCTTAGATCCATTTCCCCTTGTCTTATCGTTGGATGCCACTGAGAAGAGCCTGGCTCCATCCTCATGACAGTCACCCTTTCCATATTTATAAACATTAATGAGGTCCCCCCTCAGTCTCCTCTTCTCCAAGCTAAAGAGCCCCAGCTCCCTCAGCCTTTCCCCATAAGGGAGATACTCCACTCTCTTCATCATCTTCGTGGCCCTGCGCTGGACTCTCTCCAGCAGTTCCTTGTCCTTCTTGAACTGAGGGGCCCAGAATTTCCTGAGCTGTAGAGAGCAGAATGGCTCCCTGGCTACATGGAGAATCCACAACAGCTCCAACTGCTTTAGCAGCACTTTCAACATTACTATTGAATCATGTAGGGAAAAAGCATTTTAACATTCACTCACTCTGGCCAGTTCCTCTTCATCTATTTCTGGCTGTCTATGTCTGGAATGCCTTTGCTCCTCATCATGAAAAATTGTTTTGGGCTTTTCATCTTCAGACTCACTGTCTGATGGAGGTTCATTGATCCAGGCATCAAGATCCAAGCTGGTGAGAATTGCAGTAAACAAACAGCTTGACTCAGTACCCCGACTATTTCAGTGTTTCTTATCGTATATTTAGTTTTACTATTTAAGAGTTTAAAAGTTTAAATAAGGCTTTGGGAGAGAGAAGGAACTTTACCCCTCTGGAACTGGTACTTTCTTCTGTGCCTTAGGAGCCACAGGATTCAGCTCACCAGCAAACAGTGCTATTACTTCCTCAGCTACAGGTACTTCTTTTATTTGTAGCTTCTGAATGTATTTTATTAGTTGCAAGATGCAAGAAGCCTAAAAACAAGTGCAGAAGTAATTTCAATGTTAACATTAACAAACTGAACCAAGAAAGTTAACTGCAATGAATGTCAGCAGATGACAGCTGTTCTACTCCATCAAGGGAATCAAGGGAAGCAGCATAACTGCAGGTTTAGAGCAAATGTAAAAAAAAAAAATCCACGTTAACCCTCTCTTCTACACGCTTGCATAATTTTACAATTACATTGTTTTGATTTAGATTCTTGCAAGCAGTCTTCAGAGGTGGTATCGAACTGGAATAAGATCTGGACTCTGACATGAAACGTCACCACTCCTCCCAGTCCTCTAGTTCTAGAGCTTCTCTTTCCCCAGGTTACACAAAGTACAGGATAAACACATCACTCCACTGATAGCAAGGGCTTATATAAAACGTGCATGTCCACGGAAAATTACACACATGCTCCAAGACAAATGAGACACTTTATGATAAATTATGAAGTTATGATAAATGCTCCAAGACAAATGAGACACTTTATGATAAATTATGAAGTAATTTTCTTCTCTTACCCTCTCCTGAACTTCTAGATCTGCGCTCTGTACAAACTGAGGCAAACGCTCAATCATCAGCTGTGTAATTTCCTGAGCTGCTTCCTTTTCCCCAGACTGCTCTTTCTGCTGTAGGATGGATGCATAGAGCTTCACCATGTTCTGGACATAAACTGCCTGGATGTGGCCTGGTAGAGTTGTAACTTTCGGCCTCAACATTGCTTCTAACGTTTGGTTTGCTTCCTCGAGGTGTCTATAACGACAGAGTGAACAGATGAAAGACAGCAATTGAGAACTTTCAACATTTCATCAGCCTTCATGGAGACTTTTTCAAAAACCTCAGTTGCAGTACAAGGTGCTGCAGAAAGACGACACAGACTACAAATACATAATAATTTGCTTTCCACGTGTTTTCCCCTTCCAAATTACAGGAGTAACACGGCACAGCTTTATCCTTTTACAGAAGGGGAGGGACACCTCCGTTTCCACCTTTAGAAGTTCAGTATTCTCCCCATGAACTAAGCATTGCACTGAGGTGCCAACTCCATGGACAGTCTGGATCTAGCAGCCCAGCTACCTTCCTGCCATTCTGTACTTCACCACTCGCATCAATGAGGTTGTATTTCCAGTCATTTACTGAACAAAAACTAAACCTAGTAGGCAATGCTTAATACACACAAAAGAACACAGATCGTAACGCTTGTTTTAATAAATCTCATGATCTTATCCAAAACTGTCTGCTCACAACTAAATGGAAGATGCACAAAAAAGTTACTAGTCCATTATGAATGGAAAGCTAAAGTTCTTTCAAAACCTTGTGATCAAATTGGAAAAGGAAAGTGTGTTCTCTTGCTTCTTAATCCACAGTTTTCTTCGCAAAACTTCTTTAATTAAATGAACATCTGAGCCATATCAGTATTCCCTAAAAATATCATATCTGCTATGTGAATTTAAACTGGAAGAGTGTTCAGAGTGGCAATTACAAGAAGAGACACCAAACCACATGCTAAAAGGAGACTACGGTTTCATGGTCTGTCCAGCTTACCAAAATGAAAGCTAGGTAAGCATGTGTGTATGCACACACAACCACAGGACAAAAACACCTATTTAAGCTAAAAGATACTGTTGGCATAAGAACACTGAAAATTGTCCTACTGTGGGTATAGATTTGTTTTGAGAAAAAAAAAGATGACTTCTAGTCCTCAGAAAGATTAGGTTTCAAAAACAAAACAGGGAGGAGAGCAAAAACTAATTCAGTCAAACACGGTGATTGGATGTTTTCCCGATGATGTAAGTGGGGTTAGACCTTAATGTTTAATGAGTTCTGTCCATGTCTTAGGATGTTACTGCTCATACCCACTGTCACCCCCTGCTGCGTGAGTGGGCAGGACCACAGAGACACGAAAAAATAGCAAGCATTAAAAATGAAGCATCCGTCTTGGCTAGAAACAGCCGAGGAGCCTTATGGGGTGAGGGACACGGGCAAGGGAACAGGAAAGAAGCAATCATTTTGTTAGCGTCAGGGTGCATATTCTATACCACCCTTCTCTCCAAAACACTTCTCGGTGACCTGAGTCTTTGCCCGAAAGAAGCTGCTCGAAGCACACCAGGCTTTCCGCTTGCACTTACTCGGAGAACTCCCCACATATCCAAGCAGCAGCATAAAGCACCTCACAGATCCCGTTTCTCTGGGTGTTGCTGGCTATGAGATGAGCATTGTCCAGAAGCATGGCCATTTGAGACACTGCAAATTTACGAATAGCTTTTACTCTGATAGCCACATCTAACATCTGAGCTGCTATGAGATGCCCATGTCGTGTGCCTTCCAACCGGGTCAGCTCCACCAAGATGCTTATGTACCTACAAAAAGTGAAAGGGATGCAATTTTATCAGCAGACAATCATGCATGATCATTGCTGCTGATCTCAAAGTTGACACATAAACACACTGACCATTCAAAGTTTGTGATATATTGATAATTGGACTGACTACAAATATCGATGATTTTAGTCAGCAGCTCATCCCGGTACGTCGTCCCTTCTGCTTTATCCACGTGAATCATTAGTTTCTTCACTATCTCCATCAAGTTCTTCTTTGATACCTGTTAAAGAGTTAGTGAAGGGTTGAACCAAAACCAAATCATTTCCCATACTGTCAAGCTTCTAATTCCATTAAAGCAGCTGTTAGCTCTTTGATGGACCTGTGTCATGTGTTAAGAAACCAGAAAGATCTCTCTATGCCCTGGCTTCAGTCACAATTGGAAAAGGAACCTGTTTATTTCTTTTCAAAGTTGTTATTACAGCAGAGTCAGCACAAACATATCAGACCGTACTGTGGAAGGGCTGAGAATCAGAAATACTAGCAGCAATACAGAAATCCAGGAGAAAATTAATCTTCTACTTCTGCCAGAGTAGCAAGTTTAATAGTTTAGAGCATTTTTGCTTCTAAACAGAACAAATTTAAGCATCATTAGCATCCAACGAAATTCTAGCGTTTCAAATCATAGCTGTATTAACTTGCTCTGGAAACTTCTTTGTCTAAATAAAGCAACCAAAATATTTAGTAAATATCACACCAGTGGCTGTGACTCGCTGCCTCCAGCTGTGATCTCAATAGGTGCAGTTAAAGACACCACGAACAAAAACTGCAACAGGATTTCTACAGTCATTCATTACACAGTTGTCCTCCTCGGAGGCAGGGCTGAGTAAAATGGCAGACTCTTTCTCCTAGTTATCTTAGTTATCTGACTAAAGACATAAATAAGCAGAATTTAACCTCCAGGAAATAAGAATGAACTCCCGTTCTCTTTGCAACAACGTTAAAACCACTGTCCTCATCACACGTTAATGAAGTTATTGTCAATCTCATGAGTACCACCAGCCAAAAGGTGTCCTCCTTATTCTTCGTTTCCTCCTCTAAAACCCGAAGCTGTAAGACCTGTTGTGCACGTGTACGGAGGGGAAACAGACTCTTGAGAGAAAGGCACTTTACTACAAAAATCATGCCCACAGCCCTTCTGCAGATCAAACAGTGCCACTAGGAGACTGCCTCTGTGCCTGTGCCCGTTTTATGAACTGCCCTGCGCAGCTGCAGAACGCGCACACAGAACCGGTGGCACGCAGGAGAACAAACAGAGTGAGACTCTGCACGTGTCATCAAAAGGCCTAACAAAATTTACAATGAAGGGTAAATTTGATGATAAAGCAGTTTAAAGCTGCTTTCTCCTGTTTCAGGGTGCTCTAGATTGTTTCCCAGACTTGGAATAACTTAGGCCAACCTGCGCTACGGTGTGCTGCAACCCTGCACAGACCTATCCGAACGTGCCTATGGTCCACTTCCAACGTGGACTACGGACGGAAGGAGAAGCTAAGGCTTAGGCACTGGAAAAGCAGCCCCAAAAAAGGTGACTTGCAGTGTCTGAACTCAGAAAGCCCTTCTCGTCTGAACTGATTTAAAGCCCGTTCATGCCCTACCAGATCCTTTACTTGTAAGCACCAGGAAAGATAGAGGAGTTGGGATCACAAGGGTAGCGGGGAAGAGAGTTTTTCTTAAACACCAGCCTCCTAACTAAAGGGTCATGGGGACTGGAGAGAAAAGGAAATACATACAGGAACATACCATGCCATATAGGAGATCTAAAGCTCTGAGTCGGATAGACTCATCTTTGTCATCCAAACATTGGAGAATGAGATCCTTGTGAGATTGAACTGACTTAGGATGCGTTTTCAGGATTTTGGACATCGCTAACAGCCCCAGGTATTTCACTGTGAAAGACAAAATAAAACTTCTTTCCAAATATAGAAACACTGTTTTGT